ATATTTCAAAACATCAAATTCATATCTTCCACAGTATTAATTTCATACATTTCTGAGTTTTAAATTTTTCTAACGCTTAAAATTACCAATTCTCATATTCATAAAAAATACTTAACTCTCGCAGACTTCAAAGTCTAAGAATGGCTTACACTCTAAGAATGGTTAGAAAAAAAAAAAGTTCTTTACCATAACACAAAAAGTAATCAGCTTTTAGATACTTTTTTAGACATTCTGACATGTTTGAGAAAAACTTAACCCTAAATACATTTTCATGACAATAAACCGAACAATAGTTCGCAATTCAATCATTGAATAACTCTCAAATTAATTACTCAAAAATTCTCCAACTAATTATTCAATAATTCTCCAGTTAATTATTCAAATAATTTTCACTCATTCGTTCAGTATTCTTGGAAAAATATTCAAATATTGCATGCAAATAAGTAATCAGTATAATCCTTAAAACATTTAATCAATTAATTCAATTTCAGATAAAAGTTGCTAAATTAAAGCAGGGCTTATACAAATTGAAATTTTCATATTGAATCATACGCAAAACATAATAAAAGAATTTCTAAATAACACAATAAGGAATATACAATCCTATAATTCAGAATCCCTTTTTTATATTTAATGTGTCTATACAGTTGCTAACAAAACAAAATAAATAAATAAAGTTCTCCCCGCCTAGGATTCTCCAAGACATTCCACTTGAGGGAAAGGGGTCAAAATGTTCTTTTCACAACTGCGGTTCGTTCCAGTGTCCATTACTTTTGGGTTCATTACACAGGAAAACACTTATTGCCTCCGGTCATTCAAAAAAAGAAGGGGAGGGAGTTGAAGGCGATTTTATCTGAATTGAAAACACTTAAAACTGCCCTCAGTCGACTCCCTCAAAATTCTAATGGTCATTGATACGAGCTGGGAGTCCTTTTTTTTCCAGTTGCGGGCTTTTCTTTTCCCGTGTCTTACGCGCACTTGTAGTGGTCATCATATATCTTCCGTTCTCTTTCCGCAACTTAAGGATTTTTGCTGTTCCCCTACGAAGGGGTATTTTGATCTACTGGAAGGATATCGCTCTTCCCTCTGTCACCAATTGCGAATGTCGTAAATTTTGATGTATCTTCATGGGTTAGCTCCAGGTATCCTCTCGATCATTCCTTAATGAAGTTTGGTGGGACACTAGACCTCCGCAGTTCAGCATACTACAGTATTATCTTCCGGGGCAAAAATAATGTGTTTTCTTACTCTATTAGTTTTCCCCTTGTACTTCGTTCAGTTACGTATTACTTATAACAGGGGAGTTATATCTACATTCCTGAAAGGAGTTTTTTTCACAGAAATGTAAATTTTTATCTACAGAAGCATGTTGATATAATATATCTTAATATGTTAATACTTGGAGAAGATATGAGGCTGCGGCGAGGTACTTTTGATTGTTTGAAAATGACGCAGGCGTTTTACAGTAATATGTTTGGCTGAAAATGGTGTATGACATCTTACATTTCTTAAATATTAATGGTCTGCAACGTCAGTCTATCTATTGTGTTTAAAATTAGCGAAAAATTATACAGAAACGTAAAACGACGCAAAAGTAATTGGTATAATTGTAACTATTTTGTTATTGTGAGATCAACCACATGGAATCGGTAAAATCAAGCACATTAACAGTAATCGAGCGAGGAAAGGATTGCTTTTGGAATATCAAAATTTTTACGACCCAACAAGCAAACAAAATTTTGCCAACGGAAAAACAAATCAGTATTTATTTACCGAAGAATACTCATTAATAATCAATGGTAAAAGTGTGCAGTTCCCCGACAAATTGCACCTTACGGTGACGACGGTGTAATATACAAATTTTCAAAACTGAATTCAAGCCAAAAATGGGTGACAATTTTGAGTTTGAAGAAACTGATCAACTCATCTAGAAAAGAGAAGCATTTAGAATTTTTTGTCTCGTCAATCATTTCCAGAATGGAAAGGACTCGATCCGGTTGCACAAGGACGACGAAAAGGATTTGAATGCAGGAATATCCCATCGTTACATTTTCTTTCGGTGCCACGCGAGATTTAGTGTTTCTAGAAAGAGTACTTGAAAACGTATACGTACTGCTAGAACATGGAAGCGTGTTATTGATGCATCCTCAACGAATCGGTTCTGAATCATGAATTGCCCAAAGAGAAATCGATTGAAAGATGCGAGAATAAGCTTAACTTTTAGAAGAATTGAAAATGATGTTTAATTTTTGTACCTTTCGCCACCTACAGAAACAAAATATAAAATGTACTTGTTATTACTTGTCTTTAAGACTGCAAAGATATTTGTAAAATTTGTTTAGTAAAAATAGTTTTTTATTCTTGTGTTTGTCAAAATCATTACTTATACATACAATTTTAAAATATTTTTTTTAATTAATTTTAAAATTTTATTTTAATTTCTAAGTATGATTTTAAATTCTTGTTCATATAAAAAGTATTTTGCATAAAATTTATTTTAACATAAAAAAAAAAAAAAAAAAAAATTATACTTATTTTTTTTTCTCTTAATGTTAGAAGAAAACTATGTTTATAAAAATTTATTTTCTCTAACATAAAAGCTGGATATACTGAATTTCTTTGAGGAAAAGAAAAATATGATGTTTATAAAAATCTAAAATTGTTTGATAGAAAATTAAACATAGAGATTTAAAATAAACTAAGATTGAGGGAGTTAACAATGTTTTAAAATTATTTTCTAACATTAAGAAATAAGGTGTTTGTTTTGTTTTTTTTTAAAAAAAATATTTTTTTCTATCAACAATTTTTAATTTTAAGATTTTTATAAACATCATATTTTTTCTTCTCAAGAAATTCAATTATAACTTTTCAGTTTATGTTAGAAAAATAAATTTTTATAAACATAGTTTTCTTCTAACGATGAAAAAATAAATAAATTTTTTTTTTTTTTTTTTTTTTATCGAAAATAAATTTTTGTCACAAAATCTTTTTTATAAGTGGGAAAACAAAAATTTAAAATCATACTTTAAATTAAAATAAAATTTTTAAAATTAATTAAAAAAACTAAAATTATATATTATTAATGATTTCAGACAAACCTAAGAATAATCTCAAAAAACTATTTTACTAATACTTTACAATATCTGCAGTTCTAAGACAAAATATAAAATTTTATGTTGTTCGTGAGCCAATTCTGAGCAGAAGGTACAAAATTAAGTATCATTTTCAGTTAAGCTTATTCTCACCAATCGATTTCTCTTGGGCAATTCATGACACAGAACCGATTCGTTGGAGGTCGCATCAATACACGCTTCCATGTTCACAAAGGTACGTATACGTTTTCATTACCTCTTCTCTTAAACTAAATCTCGCGTAACCGAAAGAAAATGTAACGTGGGATATTCGCATTCCAAATCCTTTTCGTCGTCCTTGTGCAACCGGATCGAGTCATTCTGTGACGAGACAAAAATTTAAATGCTTCTCTTTTCGATGAGTTGATCAGCTACTTTCTTCCAATCCTCCAAAATTGGTCACCCATTTTTTGGCTTTTGGTCGGTTAAAATTTGTATATTACACCGTCGTCACCGTAAGGTTGCAGTTTGTCAGTACTGATGGCTGTGAAAACTCCTTCGTGATTTATTTCCAAACTGTTTAAACTGGTGCTGTGAGTCATCTTTTGACAAACCAAGCAATCGCTAAACTCGATATGTCTTGTGAACTATATGGTTGTCAGCTCTTTAAACCAGTACTGCGTGGGCCCTACATTTCTTTAAAGCACAATGAATTTGACGTTACGAACTACAATA